AGTTACAGTAATCTGGCTCTGATGATCTGGAGTTTCCAGTGGGCAGTACTATATACATGTCAGTTTATAGGGGAAAGTAAGGGCAGCCGGCGTGATGCTGACCACATCACCCATCTTGTGCCGTTGGTCTATAAAAATATAGGTCTAGCCCTATATGCCCTATACGCCTAAAGGCGTGGAAAGGGTCCTTTACTTTTCTTTTTACATGTTTACTGGCTGTAAACTCTTGAGGAAAGTTCTGGTTTTCATCCACTTCTGCTCTTTAATCTGGTTCCAGAACCTGAGTTTTATGTGCACATCTTTTGTTTGACAGATCTGGCTTATTTATGTGCAGACTATTGCTTCCTCAACTCTCAGGCAGATGAACTCCGACTTCCCTAATTAGTTGACTCTTATGACATGCTTGTTTGGTGGCAATAGGTCTGTTCTCAGCCCCCCCCCCCCCCCCCCACAATAGAACCACAAAACCCCCACCAGAGAAAAGCTAACTTTGTATCCCATTATTCAATGTTACATTTCTTTTGTTTTGATGTATATTATCAAGGTTAGAACACTGAATTTTTACAAACAAGGGGACACGACTGCATATGGACAAGTAATCCAACAGAGTAGTCTCCCTGAGTGCTGGAATGAATGTTTGAGACTGAGTGATTACACGACCAGACTACACAAAGTCCAGGATTTTAACAGGTACACACAAATGGTTTAGAGTTTCTAATAAGCAGTACTTGATACGTGTCAATCTATGGCCAGCCCCACAATAAAGCTTAACTGCAATATATCTCCAACACTGTCTGTCTCTCACCTCAATGGATGTGTTTGTTATGGGGTTTTTCTGTAGCTGTTATGATTATCTCTGACTCAGACAGGCTTGATTCATTTCATGGCCTGGACACATATACCTGGTGACATAATAAGGAAGAAATGATATCCTTTCCCTGGTCTGGAGTAGTGTATCTGATATCTGTCTTGTTTTCAGATAAGGGTGAAATGTGGTAGTATTAATGAAGATATTGATAGTTTTGTTTGATAGCACTGATGAAGATAGAGTAGATTATGATGGTAGAGTTGATGATAATAAAGGTGACAGAGTTGGTGATAAAGGTGACAGTTGATGGTATTGGTGATAAGATTGATAATGAAAATAGTGATAGCATTGATGATTTGAAATGCTTAAAATGCTGATGATAATTATAACAGAGTTGAAAATATTGATTATAATGTTAATGGTGATAATGGTTAGTGTGTTGGTGATAACACTTCTTCTACTTCATCCTTTGTCCAAGTGATGTAAATATTGTGTGCCTGTTTACAGCATAGCAGCACTATTTGTGCTTTTCGGCCGACACATCTAACTTGTTTAGATATTTGCCACCCAGGTTAGCTTTCCCGCTTAGCCTTCCCTGTCAGTTTCTTGGGACATTTGTACCCTCATATGGGTGGTGACTTCCTCATCCCCTGTTCAACAGATGTTGTCCGTAGAGGACCCATCCGAGATAGCCACGGGAGATTTGTGAACTGTCTTCAAGGGTAGATAGGGGCAGACTATGGGGATTATCTGCCGTCTAAAGAAGCTTCCACGAAGGCAGAGCTAACAGTACATGATGCTCTGGTACTGGGCTTACCCAAGGAATTGTTACCACCTGCACATAACCTCCACCCTCACATCCTGTACTGAGACTTCCACTCATTATGGGCTACGCCAAATAAGGATCCCCCTGAAGCAGCAGACTGCAGACCAGAGACTTTCCCTGCACAAATGGGCATCTCCTTTCCTCACCATGTTAGACTTCTGTCTCTGACAATGGCACCTTTTTCATGGATGACCCCCAGGCACTTTTTGCAGCATTGATAGGAAGCGTGCATCAGGCATGGCTTCTCTTTATGGTCACTCTGACAAGTGTGGCCCTTGGTAGCAAACATCTGAACCCTTTGCATCATAAAGGAGGGTCGAACTCCTTGTGGTCCGGGTTCACTCCCAGGGGTAGGCAGAAAAGCCACATTTCTCCCAGATTAACGGTACCTATAATGGAATCAATGCCGAAGGGTTGCGATATCCATAGTACCGAGCCAAAGGGTTTACAACTCATGGTTTCTGGATACGTTAAAAAAAATTTTTTTTTTTTTAAAACAAGAGTAAAGAACATCTGAACTTTTACTGTCACACAGTAGAACATTCAATAGATGGTTGTTTGAATCTAAGCAACCATGTAGTAGGAGTCTCGGTCAACAGACATTCAAACCAAGTCATATAGTAGAACTTTTAGATGACAGTCATTTGAACCTGAGTTTGTCATTTAGTAGCGTACTGCTCAACCAGTGTACATGACTCATGTTCCAAATGAGTTTTCCATATATGTGATCACCCATTCACAGGAGGAGGTCTAATGAGTGCCAGAAGATTTCTGGTTACGGCATATTTGGGAGGCCACCAATTCGATGAATCCCTGCCTTCTTGGTTTAGACTATTATCAGTTTCACGTGATGAGGACGTGTGGAAGGAGCCTTGCATTGGATTTGTAAAACCAGCACCAAGCTTGTGGTGCCTGAGGTTATGGAGTATCTCCTTATACACATCACAATGGCCTTAACTTTACCTCATACCTGTGACTGAAATCACAGCTCTACTGATGATAATGCAGTGTTGATGGTGGTAGAGTTGATTGCAGTGATGATAATGTTGATGATGATATCACTAATAGTGTTGGTGATGATAATGATGACAGTGTAGATGATGATACTGATGATATAGTTGATGATGATAATAATAAAAATGACACATCATTTTGTAATCCTAACTTTTAAAATGTAGGTTCAGTCGATGGAAAAAGAAGGGTATTTCAGTCGTGCCCCTGACTTACGGCATTGGTTTCCCTCTCAAACTTCTCAACCAGGTAAATACTCATTCACTGACAATACACTGTTCTACATAGCTCTAAGAGTGGTCAATACAGGCAGTTAGCAGAATCCTTTCTGGTATTGGAACAACACCTATAATTAAATTACTTAACAAACGAAAACTGAAATAAAGACCAGTTTGGCCATTTCATGAAAATGAATCCAATATGCCAGCAAAGACAGCATACAACATGAAAGTAGACGCAGCAGACGTTAAGGGATGACCAAGAACAAGTTGGATTGAAGCAGTGACTGATACCTTAAGATTGCACAACATCACGGCATTGCGGGAAACCGAGCGTGCCCTAGCTCGGATATCAGTCATCTGTTAACCTGCAAAGCCTAGCAGTACAAAGCAGAATATGAACAAAAGAAAGAAAGATGAGTCTTGTGCTCATTTCAACTTTTAAGCAATGCTCTTCCCAGTGTGTCCCAAACATTGTGTGATGTGTCTTTTTACATTTGATATTTAGCTAAGAGAATGTTACAAGAGAGCAAGATATGGAAATACAATGTAAATTGAGATTTGAAAAAAAAAAAAAAAAAAAAAAGACATACTAAGATGAGTTAAGAAATGAGAAAAGAAGACAGCAGAACAAAAAAAAAACATGTATCATCAATCAGCAAGTCCTTTACAGAACGGCACGTCTGAAAGTATTCCTTTCTCTAGTCAGTTCTCCGGCCGCCATGTGCTTTCATTTCCATTGCATCTTGAATGTCCTGTATCCATCTTCTCGGAGGTCAACACCTGACTCGCCTTCCACAAACTGCACCCTTCAACACCATCTTTCCCAAGCCCCCATGACGTTTGATGTAGTCAAAACATATATATTTTTTTTTTTTCAAAGTATGCCATAAGAAAAGGCAAAACAAGAGAAATCAAGACAGTGAGATACGATTAGAAAAGTCTAAACAGTTTCTTCTTCTTATTTTTCTTCTGTTGCCCTAAACAGGGCAGCTGGAGTGTTTTGTTGTGTTTTACAGATAGGCTGTGATATTTGTGCCTTTCAGCCTAACTCCTCAGATTACAGCAAACCTTTAATTAGTCACTTTTTAGGACATGCTTATAAGAGGGCAGTGGAACTTGTATTTCTCCTAAAATGGAACCTGGGAACCACATGGGGGGGGGGGGGAGGGATGGGGGGGGACCCCAACATGAAATGACAAGATAGTTTACAAAATATTGGTAACTGTTCTATTGTATGTTTGTATGATACTGACATTGGCAGTCAAAAAAACATTTCAGTTGAACAAAACATGGCTAATCTTGCTTGCTGTTTTTCTTTTCTTTCTTTTTAATGAAATATTACATTTATTTTTCTTTGATTAAACATAACATTTACCTTTAAAATGAAATATTACATATATTTTTTTTTTGGTTAAACATAACATTTACCTTTAAAATGAAATGTAACATTCAGTTTTAAACAAAATATTGCATTTACTTTTTAAATGAAACATTACATTTACTTTTTAGTGGAACATAACATTTAGTTCTTTTTTTTTTTAATTAAATGTCAAATTTTTTTTATTAATGAAACATCTAGCGGAATAAAGCAGACTAAAAAACACATGCTGGAGAGACTCAAAGAATAAGGTGGAAACGATTGGGGAAGATAAGGGTGAGCTGCATGCAGTAGTATAGGATAGTTTGACTTGGCACAAGTTAGTTGAGGTTGTATGCTCAGTTGGGGTATGCAAGGCAGATGAAGAAGAAGGAAACATCAACACTGGTTTAAAACATCAGAGTATACATAAGAGTACACAAAGCTGTACATGAGAAAGCAAAATTAAAATAAGACAACAGTTTGACTGTTTTTAAAAAAAGAACAAGACTATACATCAGAAAACATAAGACTATACATAAGACAACATAAGACTTTACATTAGAAGACAAGACTGTGTAATAAGATATGACTATCCATCAAAAAACTTAAGACTGTAATAAGACAGTATAGGATCATACATGAGAAAATGTAAGACTATTTATAAAGGCTAAACATAAGAAAAGATAAATAAGTTAAAAAGCAAAGCAAAATACAGAATCAAGAGACATCAGGAATAGAAACAACAAGTTGTAGTATTGATTGTCTCTTCTACAGGGGGCTGCCATCATCAATGTCTACAAAGATGGGTCTGTACTTCTGCACCTGGGCGGTGTGGAGATGGGTCAAGGGTTGCACACAAAGATGATCCAGGTGGGACATCAGAGCTTGTCCATCACACTTTTATGTCTGTTTGTTTGTGATCATCATCATCATCATAATCAAGTTCAGCATTCCGAGCCCTTGAGGTTTATTGCTGCAGATATCATCCGCCTCCATTCATCTCTCTGGTTGGCTTTCTCTTTCCAGTTGGTGACACCAAGTGTTTGCAGGTCTGCCTAGACATTATTTCTCCGTCTTCTTCTTGGTCTGCCTCGTGGTCTACGACCATTCATCTCCCTTGTGTATACAGTTTTCACTTCTGTGTCATCTGACATTCTCTCAATGTGCCTTAACCATTTCAGTCTATTAGCTTTCATGATGCCAGTGACCAATGGTGATTTAAACAGATTTGAAATTTCACTTTTTCTTCTCACTCTCCATTCCCCACTGTTTGCATCTTTGAAGGGTCCAAAGATTCATCATAATGCTCTGTTTTCGAAAACTTGTAATAAGGCTTTATCTCTTTTAGTTGTGCTCCAAGTTTCAAAGCCATATAAAACAGCTGGTCTGATCAACATTTTACATATTTTGATCTTGTGTTGCGAGACAGACACTTTGACTTTAGCAGATGTTGAAGGTTATTTGTTTACTTGTGATGTGAACAGAAAATAGATGATGTGAATATATTTTAAACTCCTTCCTAATCAGTCTGTGCTGAACAGTGATTTTATTTTATTAGTTATTGCAAGGACCCATAATTCACACAAAGAAATGTCTCTTTTAGTCACTCTATGCTTATATTTTCCCATAATTTTAATGAGAATTGTCTGAGGAAGGAAATGTGATGATGAAAAATACACTGGCCACCTTACCTATTCATGTCATCATCATCATTATGTGCTATGTCAGGAGACAAGCATGTTCATGTTTCTGCCCAGATCTTAGCCCTTGGTATTCTTAATCACTTCCACTGATGATATTACACCATGCCATCGCTTCAGGTCATCAAGCATCATTTCTTGTGGTCTGTCTCTGCCTCTTCTACGGTTGATCTTTCCAGCCATCACTATGTTCTCTAAAGCTTCTCTTCTCATCACATAACCGAAGAACACCGACTGCTCCTTTTTATAGTTATATATCGTTTTCTAATTTCATTAGCCATTTCCAGGCAGTCGTTGTTATTCACTCTATCTGCCCTTGGTATCTGCATCTCAGAAATCACATTTCCAGCTTCTTAATTTGTTCATTCACATGCTAAGATTCACAGTCAGATAGCAGCACTGGTTCAACTACTCACATCTCAGTACTAACGTTTTTTTTAAGGGTTAATGAGAGAGACCTGTTGCATGAAATATTTTCAGTTTTTGAAATGCCACCTTGGCTTGTCATGTCCTGCTTTGATTGTCTGTTTCACATTTTCCATCATTATAAAAGTCAACTCGAGAGGATCGGCTTCATTGCACCAATTTGTATCCAGTATAGCTTGGTCTCTCTATGCAGAAAGGCTAGACGCCTGCAGGGCACGAACTCCGTAACTCCGACAACGATCCCCAGGGATCTTTGTAAAACTGAACTCATGTACTAAAGAGAAACAGTTGTCAAATGAACCCACGACGTTCAGAGTGCGAGGCAAGCGGCTTGACCACTTCGCCACAGAGACCCTTTTCATCATTATGCCTTAGCCTAGACGTTTTGAAGATTAACACTTCACACTGAAGCAACAATTTTGTTGTCATAGTTCCATCTCAATCTATAAATAACAACAGCACTTTTGTTGTTAATGATCTTTGAATTCCACTCTCTTCCACCTTCCCCTCCATATTGGAACAATTGACCTATCAACCACAAACACCCTGCCAGGTGGCCAGTCAAGTATTGGAGATTCCAGACAGTTGCATCCATGTGCCAGATTCTTCCACCAACAATATACCAAACTCGGCCCCCACTGCTGGATCTATGACCTCAGACTTAATTGGCATGGCTGTATTGGTAAGTCCAGTAGATTTCTCTTTAATCCTTAGTGTCCTGATCGTCATCAACATCATCATCATCATCATCATCATCATCATCATTGTACCCAGTAGGAGTTAAATGGCATATCTAATTGCTATGCCGTGCAATGCTTGTCCTTTGTTTTGTTTTTTACCTATTTCTACAGGCGGTTCATGTCTCTTGACTTCTTTATCTCAATGTCACTGGAATGCAGCACATTCACAATGGCAGTCTTACAGAAGATAGTTCTGGCAGCAGGACTTTTGGATTTTGTAAACCCATTCTAGACAGAGTTTGCCAGTTTTGATTTTCATAAGCATGCTTATTGAGTCTGTTGCTATTAGCGCAGGAGAGTACAGCCAGCAATGAGTGTACAATTGTGACAGTTTTTATCTTCATCATCATGCTAGAAGTAGTTAAACTGAATGCCTGAAATTATTGAGTTTTTTAAAACTGTCTTCTCCTTTACCTGTGCTGAGTATGCCCACCCAAACCATAAATATAATATCACTTATTCATACCCTCATAGGTTCCAGTGCCTCAGTTTAGGGGCTGCCTCTCTAATAATAAGACAAAAGTAAAGGTCTCCTTTCCACGCCTTTAGGCGTATAGGGCATATAGGGTTAGA